CCCAGGGGCCGGGGAGAAGAAGTCTCGGTGGCCCTGGAGCGAGCTGGCCAAGCCGGCCGATTTCCCGCAGCGGCACGAGCAGCAGCCACTGCCGGGGGCCGCCGGAAGCGAGTCCCCCAGGGAGGACATGAGGGAGAGGGGGTCCACGTTCAGGTGCTCGAAGGCTGGCGAGAAGAGCTCGGCGGAGGCAGGAGGCGGCGACACCGAGGGGGCTCGAGCAAAGGAGGCGGGATCCGGGAGGCTGGGCAGCGGGGAAGTGCGGCGGGCGGTGGGCACCCCAGAGAAGCTGACGCTCTGGCGCAAGAGCTGTGGCGAAGCACCGGGGGTGGTGGCGGTGCTGTGAAACTGGGCCTCCTCCGGGTAGTGGATGAAGTGGCACCGCGAGCCGTAAGGACACTCGCCGTGGATGTAGAACTTGTGGCACAGCTCCGTCTTGTACTTGGGGTGGCGGCTGACCGTGCGCAGCTCAGCAGAGCCGTGGGCGAACTGGCACTTGACCCCGTACTTGCATTTGCCGCTTTCGCTGAAGGTGCGGCACAGCTCCGTCTTGTAGCGAGATGATGGGGCCGGCACGGGCTGCTTGAGCGGGGGGAAGCCCGGCGGCGGGGGCGGCAGGTGGGCCTTGCCCTCGATGAGGCTCACTGAACGGTCCGGGCGCAAGGGAGGTCGCAGCTGCTCCCCGCTGGGGCTCCAGTGGCTGCGCACGGGCCACACCGCAGAGGAGTCTCCGCTGCTGTGAAGCGCCGTGTCCGAGGAGCAGGCGGAGTGGCAGCAGGACAGGGTGGAGTCCTGCCCTTCCAGCTCTTCACTTAGCGAGAGGTTGAGCAGGTTCTGCAAGGGAGGGAGAAGCCGGAGAGGTTAGTGACCGTGCAAACACCCACAATTCTGCCAGCCTCAGTTGCTGCGGAGGTCAAAACCCCACCCCATTCACAAGGACAGGATCGTTCGGTAGGTGGGACCTGGGGGTTCAGCAAAGAATGCAGGCCCCTGCTCTGCAACCTGGTCTTTGCAGCCACGCTGCACAGGACCCAAACGGACACCAGAGAAAAGCACCCTCTGCAGGCAGGGCATTTGGCGATCCCATCCCCAAGCCTCGAGACCCTGAAGCTGGCCAGAGCAGGGAGCCATCAGCCACCCTCCCTAAGCCAGCAGTCCCTCCCTTTGGAGTTATCAGGAGGCATTTTCTGCTCCCCACACCCTGGCCTTGGGAGAGCCAGACACGCTTCTCCAGTGAGTCTGAAACACTGGAAACCCTTGGCTAGAAGCAAGCAGCTGACAGGGAAGGTCAGAAAGAAGCCCATGTCAGTGACAAGGGGGGGGAGGGTGACGTCAGCAGCCTTAATATAGTGCAGGTGGGCTGGGCTGGAGCTATTTTTAAAGAGGCTGTGGCTGGATCAGAGCTGTGGAGGGCAACAGCTGCTGGATAGTGACTGTAAACCAGAGAACATGGGGGGGGGTCACTGGGGGTGTAAATACTTCCACCTCTGACAGGCACGAGTCCTTGTGAGGGATATGAAAACAGATGGCTGAAAGATCCTTCCACAAGTCCTGTGGAAAGACGGCGGATGATTCCTGCTCTTGCAAGATTCACACAGGGGACAATCGGACAGCCAAGTCATATTTTTCTGCCCCCCTCCATTTTATGCAGCATAAAAAGAAATCTCTTTCCACCTCTGGTAAATACGCATTTCAACCAATGGACACACAGTGCACCACTTCTCAAATAACACACTCTCATTGTTGTTAAAAAACCCTGTTTGAACAACCAAACTTACTTGCTACATACTTTTCCACCTTACGCAAAAGTGCCCGGGGAGGGGGAAAAACCCCCACCAGGGCTGGAGGGCACTCAGAGAAATCCCTGGGTTAAAGTTAGGTAAATCTGAGAAGTGCACCGTTTGTGCCTAGAAACGCTGCTTGGAGGCTTTTGCTCGACTCCACGTTTGTGGGGTACAATGTGGGGGGAAGAACCGTTTCAGGCCAAAGACGCCCGGCGTGGACCCAGATCCAGCTGCTGGGACGACGCTCTCCGGGGCGAAGGCAAAGCCCACGGAA